TTCAGCACAAGAACCGTCAGGAAGCTCTCGTTGCAGATCACCTCCAGCTGTTCCATCACCCTCAACAACTTCATGAGCATCAGACAGCCACAAACCATCCGGATTCGCAGCACCCACCTCCATGACAAAGTTAGGCATACCAGGTTGATTCCGTAGGTCACGATGTGGAGGTATCTCTGCCGCCTTAAACACTCCCAAAGTAGCCCACTTAGGCTCACGGTTCGTAGTTTCGATTGTCTTCTGCCTCAGCACCATGTTGAGGTACTTGGTCAACCACGGCCGTCGATATGTGATCGAAGTAGAACCCCGCATACCACCATGAACGTAGCCGCCCAACACCAAAGCCGAAGTTTCTGCCCCTCTCGTTCTCCTTCTGGACTTGCGTCCCACATGGACATCTTGAAGAACCTTGGCACACGTCTCTCCATCAAACTGGCCCATGTTGTAGTAGTAGCGCGCCCTTTCTTCTTGCTGCTGAATAAGCGACCTCATAGTCCACCCGGATGGTGCACCATCGCCGCCCAACCTTAGAGCTCGTAGTCGAGGAGGTGGTTGTTTCTCTTTCAACCTATGGTCTGGTTCAGGAAGATCCACCACTGGGACCTCTGCAGCTGGAATGCTTCCCACTCCGGTTCCAGTGTCCTCCTCTCGCTCCGCTAACAAAGCGTGAGGATCAATCACATCAAACTTCAGGTTCAACGTCTCGGTCAGCACTCCACTCGCTCGCAGAACAATGGCGCCTCCCTTGATGGTGTCCGAAAGGCCCAGATAGGTCCCCTCCTCCCATCTATCAGTGAGGTCGTACTTCTTGTTGTTCCCGAACACCTTCCTCCTGATCATCACTTTTGACCCGAATGGCAGTAACTTTGGCTTGGTGACTCCAAGTCGCTCGTAGATCCTGCGATTCGCTGCGTGTTGCATTGCCAGGGTCCAATACTTCAAGCCCACCTTCGCCTCCGCCATGAGAACCTTGGCCATTGTCTTGAACCAACGAACTCCTCGTTCTGCTGCACCATTGGTCTGGGGAACTAGAGCCTCCGAGCGGGTGTGGTAGATGTCGTGGTCCAATAGCCATTTCCGGAGCCCCTTCGAAGCAAACTCTGAGCCCCGATCTGAGTGAAGTCGCGCCACAGGAAGACCCATCAGCTTAAGTCGTAGGACCGCCTCCTGCACCGCCAGCATTACATCACCTCCTCGCCTTGCCCGAACTGGGTAGACCATGTAGATCGTGTCCATCTCCACCGGCTTCGTGAGATCACCAATCAACTTTTCCCAATCCACCTCGTCCTTATCAAGCACCGCCTCATCTTCAGGAACCTCGGCGGCTGAGATCCGGAAGGTAGTTCTTCCCGTCCATGATCGCTCCAGTGCCCTGGAGCCCGATTGCGGTCCATGCCAATCCGAAGTCTCGGTGTCAACGCCACCGCCCACATACTTCACCTCGGTCACCCGCGTGAAGTCCAACTTAGCCGGAGGAACCGGGCACCCATTCCACGAAGTAGGTCGGAATAGCGCCTTGCGAGGGGTGAGGTGATGACGTATTAACACCCCCGTGGACTCTCTGAACTCCCACCAATCATCCGACACCTCCTTCTTCTTGGCCGCCCTTGCTGCCAGCAACTCATCGTCCCGCGGCTCCGTCAAGAACTCCCCGGGTTTCTCCATCTGCACCTTTCTCAACTCCTCAAGTTCGCCTGGAGAAAGCTCAACATCAGGTCCCTCATCAAAGGAGTAGTCGCAGTCATCAAGAGTCTCGGGCTCGGTTCCCTTGCCACCTTCCTCCACATCCAGGCCCCATCCACCAAGATCTCCTTCAGAAATAGGCTGGTCCTCAGGAACCATTCGCTGCTTAGGGAACTGGTAGGTGAACACCACAGCGTATCGTTCACCCTTCACTCCTTGGACCCGGACAGGGCCCAGCGTGTCTGCACTCATCACGTAGCAGTCCCGATGCAAGCATTTCCGGTGCGGTCGGCCCGTTGCATTGTGAATACACTGCAAGCAATCTGCTCTATAAGGAACGTGGTCGTTGGCAATGTGTTTCTCCCAGGCTCGCCTGTCCACCGCCTTGAGGGCTTTGACCAACCTGGGGTACCATCCAGGCCGTCGCTTCCACCGTTTGAGCCCCTGAACCAAGACTCGCACCATCATAGGAGCCCATGCAGCCCACGAGCCCTTGTCATCTTCCTCACACCGTGAATCCCGAACATCCTTGAGCTCCGCAACATCCAAATTCGTTGCCATCGTTGTAGGTCGACGATAGGGATGTCCCAAGCCGCCCTGCTCGAAGTGATGCAAGTCTATGGGCCTTTCCGCAATCCATCTCCGAAACCACTTGAACGCCCATGCCAACGACGACTCATCCTGCTCTGCCTCAGACGACGACCACAAGGAAAAAGCCACGCCATCACATGGAACATCCACATCCGCACACATCGCTTCTCGTCCTGCTACCGCCACCTCATTCAACACGACAGCTCGCAACGTATGCTCCAAAGCGTTGTGCCTCGGAAGACCACAAAGGATACTGGCCACTCTTCCCGTAGCCGCTCCCCAAAGAAGCAACCTCATCACTCCCGGACCCACCTTCAGCAAGTCGAGCAGAGGCATCCGTTGAACATCCACATCCAACACGACCGTACCGTTGCTCTCGACAGCCTTGAACACCTTATCCACCGAAGTTCGCCGCCCACTGCACAGCTTCACGGCCCAGTCCTTGCTCATCAAACGCTTTCGCATTCTTCTGTTGAACCCCAGGTCTTGCATCAACTGCCAAGCGTCCTTGTCGTCCTTGGGAAGGTCGGTCAAGATGCGCGCCAGGTCCTCTCGAATCTCAGTAGTAGCCCATGGTGCCGACGCCAGTGCCCTGAAACCATCCTCGAAGCACCCATTGGACAGGTACTCCTTCATGCTTTTCTCCCAACACGGCTCCATTTGAACTTCTCGTGCTCGAACCATTGCCTGCTTGGTTTCCTCGGTGTTCCGGGCCAGCGTCGCCAACTTCTCCTGTTCGATCTTCGCAATGAGCTCCAGCGCCGTCGCCTCGCTCACTTCTGGACATCCCGAGGTCACCTTCAATGCCAGCTCCTCGCCGTTCGGACCCTTCAGCACGCACTTCTTCTTAGTCCAAATCAGCTCATAGCCTAACACCGCCACTAAACTTCCCACAGGTAGGATTGTTTGCGCTCGGGTAGCCGCTGGTTCCAAAAGCAACGTGCCGGTATCATTCTGCCGCATTCGCTTAACACCATCTCCGGCCACCACCACATCTACTTCACCGGCACAACCCCATTCCTCCGTTGATGCCGCCCTCAACGGGTGCGTTGCCCCAGAATCCACCAAAGCCATCTTCCCCTCATAGTCCTTGATCGCTTTCTTCAGCATCTTCATAGACGGACCTTGTCGGGGCACAGACTGCTGCTCCGTCATAAGCTTCAGAATCTGGGTGGCATTGCGCAAGAAATCATCTACATCCCTGGGTCCTTGAGTTCCTTCGCTCCCCCCGGGACCGGTCGTACTGGTAGTAGAATCCGTCGAGGCTCCCATTGACGCTGGTCCCGTAGACGAAGCTGCTCCAGTGGTTCCTGATGAAGTAGCTGTAGGTGCCGTGGGAGCCGTTCCATCATCCCTTTTTCCTTCGTTTCCTTTTCCAACTGGACGTAGTCGCGGTGGCGCAGCTCCCTTCCCATCTTCTCGTCTTTGAGACTCATGTGGGTTAGCTCGAACCGGGCAGTTCCTTTTCATGTGGCCCTTAGCGCCGCAGTTCTTGCATCTCTCATGTCTTTCTTCTCGAGGAATACTCGACCAGTCGTGGCCGAACTTGCATGACGCCCGCTGACACCCAGCCTCGGAAACAAAGAACTTGCATGGCTTCACCGCCGCCGTCGAAGTGGTTGGCGATATAGGCCCCTTGGGAGAGCCCGCTCCACTGCTCTCTGCCCCACTTGCTCCCATAGCCTTCAGCGTAGGATTCGTGGATGTAGTAGGTCTCGTTGTTGTCCTGCCACGGTAAGCCAACTGCTCAAACTCGCCAAGGAGGTGTGTCTGAAACTTAATCACTGAAGCCAAAGACGGAGCCGAGTCCAGTTCCAAGCTATAGCGCAACATATTCGCCCGAAAGGACGCTTCGCCATTCTTAGCGAGTTGCGACCCCGCTGCTTGATCCAGCCCTCGAAGAAGAATGGAGGGATCCGGCACCTGAAGACCCAAGTCCTGGGCCCTTTTTAGCCACCTTGCCCATCGCCTCAGCGTTTCCACCAGCTCCATTGGAGTGTTTGCAGCACCCGGTGACTCCAGAGCCTTCAGCACCTGCTGCCTCTCCACCGATGACCCCGGTCTGTAGATCGTCAGGATCCGCGCAAGCATCGCCAAGGTGGTCTGGTGCCGGTTCGCTAAGATCTCCACCCGGATATTCTCCGGGACCGCCTGGAGCAACATCGACGCGGCCCGCTTGTCCACACGAAGCCACTTAGCTTCTCGCAACATGGCCCCCGCATAGTCATCAGCCTTCAACTGCAACTTCTTGACCGCCGATGCGCTCACATAGTCCCGGTAGTAAGCCTCGAGCGACGCCAAGACCTGGGACCACCACACTGCGCTCCCATCCGTGAGATCGCCCATGGGCCCGCTGAGTCCATGAAGCCAGTCTCCCACGTTGATCGCCGCCATCTCGTCAGCCTCACTCAACTTAGGCAACTCAGCCGCACTCGTCCCGGGCCTGATTGCCTCAGGCTTTGCTGCATTGGTTTGCAGCTGCATAGCCATCGCAGCCTGAAGTTGGGTCATACCCTGAACCAGGGCATCCAAAGGACTCGCCGAAGCACCCTGTCCGCCTGCTACTCCTTCATCAAGACCGGGCGGAGGACCACTGTAGATGCCCGGCTTAACCTCAAAAGGACCACTGTAGATGCCCGGCAAATTGCTAAAACCAGCATCCCCATGCTCACGACCGTGTCCCGGAAGTCCTGCAAGATTACCTCCGGCGACATCACGATCTCTACCTAAATCGCTTCCACTGGGTCCGCTTCCAAGGGTCGTAGGCATAGTCGGCACATCCCGTCCTGCATGTCCTTCCGAACTTCCAAACTTCCCTGCAAACCCAAGAAAACTGGTTCTCTGTGGACTCTGACTTCTAGCTCGAACTGGCCCCCCATGCTCACGACCATGTCCCGGAAGTCCTGAAAGATTACCCCCGAGCGCTCCGCGACCCCCTGAAGTCGGACCACTCCAGCGATCGTCACGCCCCGAAAGTCCTCCAGAATTGCCTCCAGGTACCGCAGCACCTTGGGGTACTTGACCAGCTTCAAGCCGCTGCTGCTGCTCACGTCCTTGGAGTCCTGGTGGATTGCCTCGAGATACTCCATGAAAGCCCAGAGCCCGATCACCACTCTGCCCTCCATCACGTTCCCAAAGTCCAACAGGATTGCCCCTAGGATCAGAACCCAGCGCATCTAATACACCACCCCCATGCTCGCGACCATGTCCAGGAAGTCCTGCAAGATTACCTTCGAGCCGCTCCGCAATCTGTTCCGCCTGCCGCTGAACAAGAAGATCACGAGCCGCAGGGGGATTGTCTGACCGCTGCTCAGCTGCCCTCATAGAAGCCGAGGTGTTCTCGGCCTCTGCTTTCAGCCGCTCCACTTCAAGCCTCAAGCGCTGATTTTCCTCATTGACAGCTCGCTGCTCACTCATCGCTTGATCTATCTGCCTCTTAACTTCACTCTCCAGCTGCTCCTTTGTAAAGGACCTCGACGAGTCTGACCCGCCTCCCGACCTCTGCACAGCCCCATAGAGCTGCGGAGCTGCCAGCGCCATTTCATGAAGACGCCGAGACTGAGAGCGATCAAAGAGCGGCTCTCGCTCTTGCTGAGTGTTTCCGCCAGGAGACCACACTGTCTCCTGAACCAACGTCGTCTGCTCTCCAGATCTGGTCTGCTGCGAGACCCTTCTTTGAACAAACTCACCCAGCCTTGTAAGCCACTTCATCGCTGTTGCTCCTTGTTGCACGAACACACTTCCAGGATTCGAGGTTCCCACATCATCTCCATTCACCGATCTGGTAGGCGATGGTAGCGGCGAAGGCCACATAAACCCACCGTCCCATCCATCTGCAGGCGTCGTATCTTGTCGCACCGCATGAGGAAATAATGGTGCCTCTGTTCTCTCACGACCTCCTGCTGTAGGTGACCTCAACGTCCCGGTACCCGATCTCGCCATCCTTCTCCCATGCTGCACATCGGACTGCCCAACACCACCGGCTCCTCGTTCCACATTCGCTTCCGCGAGAAGGCTTCCAGTAGCGTCTGGCGTATCAATCGCATTCGTCGTTCCGTGTCCGGTTGCACTCGCCGCGCCGGTCAAAACCCGACCGTAATCCGGTTCTGTCGCAGAGACTTCTCGAACCTCTCGGCTTACACCGTTCGGTCGTTGTTCTTCTCCCTGACGTACTCTCGTCACCTGCGCAGTTCCACTACTTGGGCTCATCACCTGCTGATATACAGCAGGGAGTCCTTCAAATGGCCCTCTATCGGGTGGCTCTTGATCATCAGGGCCTGGAGCCTCCATTGCTTCAGCTAACCCTATCGAATTGTATGTCGCCCTTGCAAACGACTTTTTCACTTGAGCCACAGTTCACGATCGCATTAGTACTCTGACATCTGTGTACACAGAGCACTTCCACTGCAACGTCTCGCACACTCACAGCCTGCTTTCCTTCACAACAGGTCCTTATAATAAGGATCCTACTATTTAAGGTGCAATATTAGGGTCCCCTATTTTCGGAAACTCCCACATTAATCTTGAGGGAGGGCTTTGGACCCTTGGGTCGGTCTCCGACAACACACGTTTGAACAACTCTCGTAGTTAAGACACGGGCGTTTATGTCTTGAAACTCGGGGTCTTGGCTAGGGTAAGCTATAAAAATGCCGAAATTATTATGTGCCATCAACAAGGGCAAGAGAGGGGCGCTTTTTTTGTAGCAAATGCTCGCACAGCTGTAGCCTAAGAGCAAAAGATATTCGCAAACAGCCAAGGCTCGCCACGAGGCGCAGAGTTCAAGGTCTGGGGTTTGCAGAGTGCCCTAACCCCAAATGACCTACGTTGTTAGGGCTCCTTATTATGAGTATAATACATAGTATGTATATTATGTTATAAGCCCTCAACAAACGGGGATCTTGTCCTGTCCTTGCTGGTCGCGCCTTAGAGGAGCCTCGGTATAGCAACGGTAGTCTACTTCTTCATGGTAGTCTACATCTTCGAAAACAAGATGTGATTCTGCTGATGGACAAAATGCTGCGTTACCCATAGCAAGGAGCATCCCAGGGAGTACACAAGGATACTCGAAGCAATGCTGGGTTTTGATGGATATGGACTTGCAAATTGTCCATAAGCTGATTCTCCAGTCTTCGGACATTGCACGACGGAGGCCAAGGCGGCTTCCGAAGGGATGAAGCATTCGGCAAATGGCTCCTGGTCTCTGGGCGTTGGGAGAGCAGGTCGTGGAGAGTAGCCTGGAATCTACCGGACGGGCGTCATTGACCAGGACATGCGAAAGGCACTGCCTGAAGTATCGAGCCTGTTCTTGTTGGCAGCTTCCGAAAAGACGTTCATACGGTGCTATCTCAAAAATATGAAAGTCAGCCCAGCTACCTTTGAGTGACATGGGTTGTTTTGCCCGGGCAGCGAAAGTCTGACCGGAATGGGAAGTGAGAGGGCGTAGGGTTTAGGGTTCAGGGCTTAAGGGTATATACGACCGGGACGAACGGATAGTTCGATATGGGAGTCTAGGGCAACCAGATTTCGGCTCGGAATTTCGCGATTAGGAACGAACGCGCCAACAGGATAAAGCCTGGCATATCCCGATTTCACTTCTTGAACCACGAAACTACACAAAAACAGATCGGAATCCCGGCTTGTCAGACTCGATGCTTGAAAGGCTGACGTTCTGCTACCTCTTGCAGGATGTCTGGCCTCGAACCATGTGCTCTCCATTCTTGGCACCAGGAAAGGGGGGCAAAGCCAAGCCAACACCGCGAAACACCAGAAAGCCCTAAACCCTTGTCCTAAATAAGCCCACAAGACCAAACTCTAATATGGGGGGGCCTTAATAATTAGAATAGGATTTTGGGGCCCATTATGCTTTTTCAAGAACCAGGACCCTCCAAAAACAGTCTTGGTAATCATTTGGGCTCAGCTTGTTTCAACATGTCTTGAGCTTCGTCAACCCTAAAGGATGAATAGCCCGTAGGGTTTAGGGTTTAGGGTACTTGGAGGATGATTGGACTTAGTATGTATGGTTATAAGCACCTTAACTTGGGTTGTAAGTAAGTATAACTGTAGTTACTTTACTTATAACCCCAGTTACTAAGTCCCATGATCCTTTAAGTAGGATTCCTCGAAGATCTTCCCAGATCTCAGATCTTCCGGTGTCTATAGCATGTAGAGTTCCCATCAGCCCTACAGTCTTCATCCTTATTGCACATGTCCAGCTCACAAGCTAGGAAAAAGCTTTCAATCGTTTGGGCTTCTGTTTACATAGAGAGACCGTATTGTGGATTTAAGATTTTCTGCTCGTCCTTCATCGGTAAACCTCAAGGCGCGAGCATTGTGTTGTGAGAACGATGCTACTGGTACGACAGCCTGGCTGGCAAAACTTATAAATCTACGGTCCACACTCTGCGAGTGAGTGAACTCATCATCGACTCTTCATCCAGTTGATTGCTCGCGATCGCGACCAGCGTTTCGCTCACTGTTGCTGTAGAGAGGGCACCGGGGGTGTGGACGATTGGGCCTTTGAATGGCACATCCGTTCGCTTCAACCCGCCAAAAGATCTATGCGTTTATTGTTTTGAATCTTTTACCAGGTCGGGAGCTACCTCGAAGATCTTTCTCCACATGCTTGGGTGGGACGATGGAGAGAAAGAGTCGCATGGTCCCTAATGTCACTACAGCATTTGGGTTTCTTGTGCGGTCTTATTCTTTTCATGCCTCGGGCACACAACAGCCTGCAAGAACAAACGTACATGCCAGATGTGGTGATGCCACGCATGCCTCGAGACTGGCAACCCGGCTTCTAGTGATTATGCCTCTCAGGTCCAATGTTCTGTTCAGTCATGACGATCTCTCATTTCAGCCCAGTGATGTAACCAAGAAAGTGCAAGACTAGACGACAACACAATATAAAACTCTTGAGTGCATCGTCCATTTGGTTGGCCTTCAACACTATGAATGAACGCGGTCAGAATCATTTCATGCCACTCCCACGTCACAATGATGAACATGCCCGATGGTTTGACAGTAACATCTGCAACCCTACACCCTCTCTCGCTCTCTCCCCAAGGCATTCGAAACCCTACATCGTAAACTCTAAAACGCAATAAGTGAAAGCTGTTCTTTAGAAAGGTGGACGATGCAAGGTCAACACAGAGGAGCGCATTGCAGCAGTTTCTGGTTATCACAATCGAGCAGGTACTGTTGGGGTAGGATAACTTTTGATAGTGTAAGAACCTGCTTTTGAAATCGTGGTGTCTTACCGTGCCCCATCACCGCAGAACCGAAATCACATGAATATCCCCAACACGAACTCGGGCATTAGTAATCAGGCTCCTGCATTCGTGGTCTGGGTTCCTAGCACACAAGGATTGAGGAGTGACTTCGGTTGTCATGGGGAGCCAGCCCACCAGCACGTGCTCTCAAATCGTAGCTCGGATATTGCGCAGCTCCTGATCGCGTATGGACGGAAACATGAAAATCTTTCGTGCAGCCTCAAGCCGTTCCAAATAATTAGTAGGCACGGGCTCCCTAAGTATAACACCCATGCTAAGCTGCAAGCAATCGAAGCCACAGGTTAACCCGATCCCGCATCAGTAAAAGTACGACACAGGGAAGGACAATGGAATCAGGTAAGCCCCTGCTGAACGTTCAGGACGATGTGAAGCAAGGTAGGACATGTGGACAAGTAAACGAGGGAGACAAGCCAAGACCGGACATGCGAAGGCCAAACCAAATAACGCGCTGAATACTGTAGGGACCTGATTAAGAAACCTTGGGCCTTTATTAGGGTTCCTTATATGAACCCTACTTTTTTGGGGTTATAGGCCCAGGGTTTCTTAATCAGGTTCCTACATTAGAAGGCAACAGAAGATGTTCAGTCCGTTTCTTTGAGGGGCGGCTTAAGGGTTTTTGGCTTTAGGGTACAGTTGGGGGTTTCCGAAAATAGGGGACCCTGATATAGTAGCCTGAATAGTAGGATCCTTATTGCAAGGACCCCAGAATAAGGTACCAATAATTTTCGGAAACTCCCAGTTCGAGCTCCCTGGATGTCTCCTTGGCTACACATGGTGTGGAGCAACCCACCGAAACCTCCGACCTAGAATATCAAGCCGGCTCATAAAGCTTCTCGCGAAAGCCTTAACCATCTACCAGCACCAAGACCAGCTGGAAGACTGGATGGTGTTTGGCCTATTTAGTTCAACGGCATCATCTTAACGATCCCCCTGGGTCGGTATGACATTCTCCTGCCGCCACTGTTCCGCGCTCTTGTAGCTGGGAAAGCTCAAGCGTAACAGTACCTCGGTAAGCAGTTGTTGGCAATATCGTCTCCAGGGTCTGTGCACTCACTACTTCTTCGAATAGGGTTTTGGGGCACATGGTACCAAAATACATAGAACAGTAGCGGTAACTTCTCAAGCCCCTACAGTAGCTGTTTCCGAGGTGACTTTGAGGAGTTTGGATTCTCTTCGCAAGCCGGCGAAGTCCTTGTCAATTCAGTCGTTCCCGTCGTTCCCCTGGGAATGACGCGCGCACTTCTAACTAGAGAAACATGTCGTGGCCTCATACAAGTAAGTAGGGGAAATGACGGGCAGAAGGTGTCGAGGCACTCGAAGTCAGAAGCATGTTCACAGCACGACACTTTATATGGGAGTCGTTGGAAAACCCAAACCAAAGACATCTCTGAAAGAGCACAGCTGTCGGCCCGACTGGTTCTGCTTCGCCGGCT